GTTCAGAGACTGTTCAGAGACTGTTTAGAGACTGTTTAGAGACTGTTTAGAGACTGTTTAGAGACTGTTTAGAGACTGTTTAGAGACTGTTTACAGACTGTTTACAGACTGTTTACAGACTGTTCAGAGACTGTTCAGAGACTGTTCAGAGACTGTTCAGAGACTGTTCAGAGACTGTTCAGAGACTGTTCAGAGACTGTTTAGAGACTGTTTAGAGACTGTTTACAGACTGTTTACAGACTGTTTACAGACTGTTCAGAGACTGTTTACAGACTGTTTACAGACTGTTTACAGACTGTTTACAGACTGTTTACAGACTGTTTACAGACTGTTTACAGACTGTTTACAGACTGTTTACAGACTGTTTACAGACTGTTTACAGACTGTTTACAGACTGTTTACAGACTGTTTACAGACTGTTTACAGACTGTTTACAGACTGTTTACAGACTGTTTACAGACTGTTTACAGACTGTTTACAGACTGTTTACAGACTGTTTACAGACTGTTTACAGACTGTTTACAGACTGTTTACAGACTGTTTACAGACTGTTTACAGACTGTTTACAGACTGTTTACAGACTGTTTACAGACTGTTTACAGACTGTTTACAGACTGTTCACAGACTGTTCAGAGACTGTTCAGAGACTGTTCAGAGACTGTTCAGAGACTGTTCAGAGACTGTTCAGAGACTGTTCAGAGACTGTTCAGAGACTGTTCAGAGACTGTTTAGAGACTGTTCAGAGACTGTTCAGAGACTGTTCAGAGACTGTTCAGAGACTGTTCAGAGACTGTTCAGAGACTGTTCAGAGACTGTTTAGAGACTGTTTAGAGACTGTTTAGAGACTGTTTAGAGACTGTTTAGAGACTGTTTAGAGACTGTTTAGAGACTGTTTAGAGACTGTTTACAGACTGTTTACAGACTGTTTACAGACTGTTTACAGACTGTTTACAGACTGTTTACAGACTGTTTACAGACTGTTTACAGACTGTTTACAGACTGTTTACAGACTGTTTACAGACTGTTTACAGACTGTTTACAGACTGTTTACAGACTGTTTACAGACTGTTTACAGACTGTTTACAGACTGTTTACAGACTGTTTACAGACTGTTTACAGACTGTTTACAGACTGTTTACAGACTGTTTACAGACTGTTTACAGACTGTTTACAGACTGTTTACAGACTGTTTACAGACTGTTTACAGACTGTTTACAGACTGTTCAGAGACTGTTCAGAGACTGTTCAGAGACTGTTCAGAGACTGTTCAGAGACTGTTTAGAGACTGTTTAGAGACTGTTTAGAGACTGTTTAGAGACTGTTTAGAGACTGTTTACAGACTGTTTACAGACTGTTTACAGACTGTTTAGAGACTGTTCAGAGACTGTTCAGAGACTGTTCAGAGACTGTTCAGAGACTGTTTAGAGACTGTTTAGAGACTGTTTAGAGACTGTTTAGAGACTGTTTAGAGACTGTTTAGAGACTGTTTAGAGACTGTTTAGAGACTGTTTAGAGACTGTTTACAGACTGTTTACAGACTGTTTACAGACTGTTTACAGACTGTTTACAGACTGTTTACAGACTGTTTACAGACTGTTTACAGACTGTTTACAGACTGTTTACAGACTGTTCAGAGACTGTTTACAGACTGTTTACAGACTGTTTACAGACTGTTTACAGACTGTTTACAGACTGTTTACAGACTGTTTACAGACTGTTTACAGACTGTTTACAGACTGTTCAGAGACTGTTCAGAGACTGTTCAGAGACTGTTCAGAGACTGTTCAGAGACTGTTTAGAGACTGTTTAGAGACTGTTTAGAGACTGTTTAGAGACTGTTTAGAGACTGTTTAGAGACTGTTTACAGACTGTTTACAGACTGTTTACAGACTGTTTAGAGACTGTTCAGAGACTGTTCAGAGACTGTTCAGAGACTGTTCAGAGACTGTTTAGAGACTGTTTAGAGACTGTTTAGAGACTGTTTAGAGACTGTTTAGAGACTGTTTAGAGACTGTTTAGAGACTGTTTAGAGACTGTTTAGAGACTGTTTAGAGACTGTTTACAGACTGTTTACAGACTGTTTACAGACTGTTTACAGACTGTTTACAGACTGTTTACAGACTGTTTACAGACTGTTTACAGACTGTTTACAGACTGTTTACAGACTGTTTACAGACTGTTTACAGACTGTTTACAGACTGTTTACAGACTGTTTACAGACTGTTTACAGACTGTTTACAGACTGTTTACAGACTGTTTACAGACTGTTTACAGACTGTTCACAGACTGTTCAGAGACTGTTCAGAGACTGTTCAGAGACTGTTCAGAGACTGTTCAGAGACTGTTCAGAGACTGTTCAGAGACTGTTCAGAGACTGTTTAGAGACTGTTTAGAGACTGTTTAGAGACTGTTTAGAGACTGTTTAGAGACTGTTTAGAGACTGTTTAGAGACTGTTTAGAGACTGTTTAGAGACTGTTTAGAGACTGTTTAGAGACTGTTTAGAGACTGTTTAGAGATGAATTTAAAGTGTAAAGGAGGATGTTGGAAAAATCTTTCTATAAACCTTTAATTAAACAGAAAAGACAGAAGGACTTCCTTTCGCCACCGAAAACATCTGTAGTTTATATAATAACTGCAGCCAATCACAGAGCAGACTGGGGCGGGAACATGTCATGTGACGATTCTACAGTATCATGATATTTGGGCCACAATTAAATATTATTGTGATTCTTTACATATTCCAATACAGACATAATGTGATTCTGTGTCACAACAAACAAACATAGAGTCACAACAAGCAGACATCATAGTCACAACAAGCAGACATCATAGAGTCACAACAAGCAGACATCATAGAGTCACAACAAGCAGACGTCATAGAGTCACAACAATCAGACATCATAGAGTCACAACAATCAGACATCATAGTCACAAAAAGCAGACGTCATAGAGTCACAACAAGCAGACATCAGAGTCACAACAAACAGACATCATAGAGTCACAAAAAAACAGACATCATAGAGTCACAACAAACAGACATCATAGAGTCACAACAGACATCATAGAGTCACAACAGACGTCATAGAGTCACAGCAGACATCATAGAGTCACAACAATCAGACATCATAGTCACAACAATCAGACATCATAGTCACAACAATCAGACATCATAGTCACAACAATCAGACATCATAGTCACAACAAGCAGACATCATAGAGTCACAACAAACAGACATCATAGAGTCACAACAAGCAGACGTCATAGAGTCACAACAAGCAGACGTCATAGAGTCACAGCAGACATCATAGAGTCACAACAAGCAGACATCATAGAGTCACAACAATCAGACATCATAGAGTCACAACAATCAGACATCATAGTCACAACAATCAGACATCATAGAGTCACAACAATCAGACATCATAGAGTCACAACAATCAGACATCATAGAGTCACAACAATCAGACATCATAGAGTCACAACAAGCAGACGTCATAGAGTCACAGCAGACGTCAGAGTCACAACAATCAGACATCATAGAGTCACAACAAGCAGACGTCATAGAGTCACAGCAAACATCATAGAGTCACAACAATCAGACATCATAGTCACAACAATCAGACATCATAGTCACAACAAGCAGACATCATAGAGTCACAACAATCAGACATCATAGTCACAACAATCAGACATAATAGAGTCACAACAATCAGACATAATAGAGTCACAACAATCAGACATAATAGAGTCACAACAAGCAGACATCATAGAGTCACAACAAGCAGACGTCATAGAGTCACAACAATCAGACATCATAGAGTCACAACAATCAGACATCATAGTCACAAAAAGCAGACGTCATAGAGTCACAAAAAGCAGACATCATAGAGTCACAACAAACAGACATCATAGAGTCACAACAAACAGACGTCATAGAGTCACAACAAGCAGATGTCATAGAGTCACAGCAGACATCATAGAGTCACAACAATCAGACATCATAGAGTCACAACAATCAGACATCATAGTCACAACAAGCAGACATCATAGAGTCACAACAATCAGACATCATAGTCACAACAAGCAGACATAATAGAGTCACAACAAGCAGACATCATAGAGTCACAACAAGCAGACATCATAGAGTCTCAACAAACAGACATCATAGAGTCACAACAAACAGACATCATAGAGTCACAACAAACAGACATCATAGAGTCACAACAAACAGACATCATAGAGTCACAACAAGCAGACATCATAGAGTCACAGCAGACATCATAGAGTCACAACAATCAGACATCATAGAGTCACAACAAGCAGACGTCATAGAGTCACAACAAGCAGACGTCATAGAGTCACAACAAGCAGACGTCATAGAGTCACAACAAGCAGACGTCATAGAGTCACAGCAGACATCATAGAGTCACAACAATCAGACATCATAGAGTCACAACAATCAGACATCATAGAGTCACAACAAGCAGACGTCATAGAGTCACAGCAGACATCAGAGTCACAACAATCAGACATCATAGAGTCACAACAATCAGACATCATAGAGTCACAACAATCAGACATCATAGAGTCACAAAAAGCAGACATCATAGAGTCACATAGGCGTGACTCTGTCCGTTAATATATACAGTCTATGTACTGAACTAATAAATAGCTGTAAAAGCTTTATAAGAGCAAGTAAATAAGTATATTTATTAATATAGTGTGAATCATACTCATGGACTTTCAAGTTGCTGACTGGACTGAGTTTCTAAACAGCTGCAGTTTAGACCTGGTTTAACCTCCGCAGCTCAATCATTGACTCCTCTGTGTCATAAATTTGGATCTAAATCATAAACTAGACTATTCCTGGTCCTTTCCCTGGTACCACTCAGTCATGTACTATCAGCCTCCGCTCACTCATGGTTCGTGGATATGAATTATTTTAGTTTTTTCTGTCTTTTATAACTTTCAAATTTTTTTCATTTTCCTCTTTTTCAGAACAGCGGAAGAAATACTCCAACTCCAACTGTATCATGCAGGAGACCTCCCAGTACCATGTGGAGGTGAGGGTTGCCTTGACTTTAAAGATGGAATTATAGCGGCAAAAATGTGAAGTTAATTTTAAAATATGTAATTATAAATATGTCTGGTTTAAAGCTGTGTGGGACATGAAGGAAGATTGCTTTGATTCTGCCTGAGACGATAATTCATTTTTTTATACTTTATCTTTGAGTTTTTGCCTTTAGAATCCAGTGGTCAAAACATAACAATGAAATAATTAGGAGGAGTTGACAAAAAAAAATTAGAAAAAGGGCAAAAAACGATGTTAATTTTTTCTTATGCTGCGTGGTTTTGTCTCAGTTTCACTTCAACTCTAAAAACCCTGTGGGAGAAAATGAGAAACTTCGGGGGAACTGAGGCTGTAGACCCAGGACTGAGGCTGTAGATCCAGGACTGAGGCTGTAGATCCAGGACTGAGGCTGTAGATCCAGGACTGAGGCTGTAGATCCAGGACTGAGGCTGTAGATCCAGGACTGAGGCTGTAGATCCAGGACTGAGGCTGTAGATCCAGGACTGAGGCTGTAGATCCAGGACTGAGGCTGTAGATCCAGGACTGAGGCTGTAGATCCAGGACTGAGGCTGTAGATCCAGGACTGAGGCTGTAGACCCAGGACTGAGGCTGTAGACCCAGGACTGAGGCTGTAGACCCAGGACTGAGGCTGTAGACCCAGGAATGAGGCTGTAGACCCAGGACTGAGGCTGTAGATCCGGTCAGGGAAGACAGTCCACAGAAGGAGTCCCATCATTTAGTCATGAAACAGACAAAGGGACAGCGGGTGAATAGCAATGAACAGACTACAGCTGGAGTTTCTTACTCGTGTCTTTCTGCCGCAGCATCTCTCCACCTTCATCATGGACAAGAGCGAGTCCATCCTCACGGTGGACGATGCCATAAAGAAGCTGGTTCTGTTGGACACGAAGGACAAGATCTGGACTCAGGAGATGCTTCTGCAGGTGACGGACCGAGCAGTGCGGCTCCTGGACTGCGACACCCAGGTCTGTCCCTCACACTTCCCAGACTCTACACAGCAACATTCCCAGACTCTACACAGCAACATTCCCAGACTCTACACAGCAACATTCCCAGACTCTACACAGCAACATTCAGACTCTACACAGCAATATTCAGACTCTACACTGCAACATTCAGACTCTACACAGCAACATTCAGACTCTACACAGCAACATTCCCAGACTCTACACAGCAACATTCCCAGACTCTACACTGCAACATTCAGACTCTACACTGCAACATTCAGACTCTACACTGCAACATTCAGACTCTACACTGCAACATTCAGACTCTACACAGCAACATTCCCAGACTCTACACAGCAACATTCCCAGACTCTACACTGCAACATTCAGACTCTACACTGCAACATTCAGACTCTACACTGCAACATTCAGACTCTACACTGCAACATTCAGACTCTACACAGCAATATTCAGACTCTACACTGCAACATTCAGACTCTACACAGCAACATTCAGACTCTACACAGCAACATTCCCAGACTCTACACTGCAACATTCAGACTCTACACTGCAACATTCAGACTCTACACTGCAACATTCAGACTCTACACAGCAACATTCAGACTCTACACTGCAACATTCAGACTCTACACAGCAACATTCAGACTCTACACAGCAACATTCAGACTCTACACTGCAACATTCAGACTCTACACAGCAACATTCAGACTCTACACAGCAACATTCAGACTCTACACAGCAACATTCAGACTCTACACAGCAACATTCAGACTCTACACAGCAACATTCAGACTCTACACAGCAACATTCACTCTACACAGCAATTTTCAGACTCTACACAGCAACATTCCCAGACTCTACACTGCAACATTCCCAGACTCTTAATTCTTAATTTCTTAACTCTCTTATTAAACAAACATATATTTAGCTCAGTTGGTAGAGCATTGGCCTTTGGGCCTGAAGGTTGTGGGTTTCGAGCCCACCATGAGACCTACTTCAAGACTCCCACTGGTGTCTGATGTCGTTGTGTCCTTGAGCAAGACACTGAACCCCACTTTGCCTGAAGACATCTGCCACCCCCACCTCCATGAAGTCTGAGGAGTCTTGACAAGTTTAAATGATTGTGTTATTGTGTGTAGTTATTGTTTGATAGTTGAAGGATTTGCGGAAGTGAACCGCGCTGACCCTGTCTTTGATAACAGCAGTAATAAGGAAGATATTTAATTTCCCGGGGCAACATTAGCTCAGTTGGTAGAGCATTGGCCTTTAGGCCACCTCGACACCTTCTCCACCGACTCCCACTGATGTCTGGTGTCGTTGTGTCTTTGGGCAAGACACTTAACCCCACTTTGCCCGAAGCCCCTGCTGAAAGATCTCAGCTCCTGTGGACTCACCACCTGCAGGAGGATCAGTGAGGGGCTGGTGCTAAGTGTGATGGGTGCAGCTCTGACTGCTACCCCCCCGACCCAGAAATGGATTAAGCGGAAGAAGATGGATGGATGGATTTAATCTCCCCTTGTGCGATGAATAAAGTGTTATCTCTCTAGTGCTTTATAGTCCTCCCTCATCAGCAATTATGATATTTCATGATATTAACAGACTCTACACTGCAATATTCCCAGACTCTTAACTTTCTTATTAAACAAACGCATACAGTGCCTTGCAAAAGTATTCATTCATACATTTCGCCACATTTCAGTCTTCAAACATAAATTTATAAAATTTTAATTTTTTGTCATGAATCAACAACAAGTGGGACACAATCGTGAAGTGGAACGAAATTTATTGGATAATTTAAACTTTTTTAACAAATAAAAAACTGAAAAGTGGGGCGTGCAATATTATTCGGCCCTTTTACTTTCAGTGCAGCAAACTCAGTCCAGAAGTTCAGAGAGGATCTTTGAATGATCCAATGTTGTCCTAAATGACTGATGATGATAAATAGAATGCACCTGTGTGTAATCAAGTCTCCGTATAAATGCACCTGCTCTTTGATAGTCTCAGGGTTCTGTTTAAAGCGCAGAGAGAACCATGAAGACAAAAGAACACACCAGGCAGGTCCGAGATACTGTTGTGGAGAACTTTAAAGCCGGATTTGGATACAAAAAGATTTCCCAAGCTTTAAACATCTCAAGGAGCACTGTGCAAGCAATTATATTGAAATGGAAGGAGTATCAGACCACTGCAAATCTACCAAGACACGGCCGTCCCTCCAAACTTTCATCTCAAACAAGGAGAAGACTGATCAGAGATGCAGCCAAGAGGCCCATGATCACTCTGGATGAACTGCAGATAACTACAGCTGAGGTGGGAGAGTCTGTCCATAGGACAACAATCAGTTGCACTGCACAAATCTGGCCTTTATGGAAGAGTGGCAAGAAGAAAGCCATTTCTCAAAGATATCCATAAAAAGTCTCGTTTAAAGTTTGCCACAAGCCACCTGAGAGACACACCAAACATGTGGAAGAAGGTGCTCTGGTCAGATGAAACCAAAATCGAACGTTTTGGCCACAATGCAAAACGATATGTTTGGCGTACAGTAAAAGCAACACAGCTCATCACCCTGAACACACCATCCCCACTGTCAAACATGGTGGTGGCAGCATCATGCTTTGGGCCTTCTTTTCTTCAGCAGGGACAGGGAAGATGGATGGAGCCAAATACAGGACCATTCTGGAAGAAAACCTGTTGGAGTCTGCAAAAGACCTGAGACTGGGACGGAGATTTATCTTCCAACAGGACAATGATCCAAAACATAAAGCCAAATTTGTTGTTGATTCTTGACAAAAAATTTAATTTTTATATCTTCATGTTTGAAGCCTGGAATGTGGCGACATTTTGAAAGGTTATGATACTAGGTGAAATACTTTTGCAAGGCACTGTGTTTAGCTCAGTGTGTAGCATTAGCCTTTGGTCCTGAAGGTCGTGGGTTCGAGTCCACCATGAGACCTTCTTCACGACTCCCACTGGTGTCTGCTGTCGTTGTGTCCTTGCTCGAGACACTTAACCCCACTTTGCCTGAAACCCCCGCTGAAAGATCTCTCCTGTGGACTCAGCACCTGCAGGAGGATCAGTGAGGGGCTGGTGGTCTATGAGCTGGGTCCAGCTCTGACTGCCACCTTCCTGACCCAGAAATGGATGAAGGGGAAGAAAATGGATGGATGATAGATGGATATTTAGCTCATGTAACGTCCTGTGTCCATGAAGTCTGAGGAGTCTTGACAAGTTTAAATGATTGTGTTATTGTGTGTAGTTATTGTTTGATAGTTGAAGGATTTGCGGAAGTGAACCGCGCTGACCCTGTCTTTTGATAACAGCAGTAATAAGGAAGATATTTAATTTCCCCTTGTGCGATGAATAAAGTATTATCTCTCTATTGCTTTATACTCCTCCCTCATCAGCAATTATGATATTTCAAAGTCCAGCTGGAGGCACTGGGTCAGACGGTGCAGACTGTAGCGACACGATACAGGTGTAAATCTGAGAAGATAAAACTGAAATACACAGATAGTGTTTGTGTGAATGAGGCTCTACGGTCAGAGCCGAGCAGAACCATCGCACTCTCAAGTCTGGCTCGGGGTTGTCACGGTAACCGGGGTCGGCTGTAATACACAAAACAGTCGATGGAAACAATAATGAAGCTTAAGCTAAATTCAGACGTCATGCTGCCACACTGAGCTCCTCTACACTCCTGCACCTGAGCAGCCTCAGTCTATGACTGCTGTTCGAGCAGCAACCCACCTCCTCCCCATCACCGCCTCTTCAGTGGAGTGTCATGTCTTCAGCTTAGCTTCTTTGCCACCAGGGTCTAGGCCCGGGGGGGTTGCAAGCTCATCATTTCTATTAAACTCCCACCAGGGTCTTATTGCCAAAGCTTATCAATAAATATATTAATCCTCAATCTAAGTCTGCTGGTGTTTTTCATGCATCCTAACAATAGATATTCTAATCTTCGTCTTGAGTCTTTCCAGATTTAAATAGTTTCAGTATAAAGAGACTGTTTTCTCGGTGTGTGCCGCAGCCGCCCTGAGCCTCCAGCGTCTGTTCTGTTCAGTTGTTTGTTTATCGTATGTTGTTTCTGTGTTCTGTACTATGTGCTACACAAATACCTTTACTACCTTTTGTCTGGATTAAGTTGATGGTGTGTGTTATGTTGAAGGAGGAGCTGGAGAACTTCCCTCTGTCCACCATCCACATGGTCCAGCCGGTCCTGAACCAGAGCAGGTACAAGTCTGTGCTGCTGCTGATGTGTCAGGACCGAGACCAGCACCACCCAGACGTGCACTTCTTCCACTGCGACCAGGTGGAGGTCAGTCTGAGGCACAGATACTGTACCAGCAACTACTGTACCAGCAACTACTGTACCAGCAACTACTGTACCAGCAGATACTGTTCCAGCAACTACTGTACCAGCAGATACTGTTCCAGCAACTACTGTACCAGCAGATACTGTTCCAGCAACTACTGTACCAGCAGATACTGTACCAGCAACTACTGTACCAGCAACTACTGTACCAGCAGATACTGTACCAGCAACTACTGTACCAGCAGATACTGTACCAGCAACTACTGTACCAGCAACTACTGTACCAGCAGATACTGTTCCAGCAACTACTGTACCAGCAGATACTGTACCAGCAGAAAGACTGGGATTTAATTACATATGTGTATTTGTGTGTATATGTGACCCATATGTGTGTGTCTCCTCAGGCTGAGATGGTCCACGCTGACATAGACAGCGCAATCGGAGACAACAAACACGGGCGGAATCAGAGACTGCAGACTCTGAAGTGAGAAAAGAGGCCAGACCTGAGACCCTCTCAGACTGTCTCAGACCCTTTTAGACCCTCACAGACCCTCTCAGACTCTCTCAGACCCTCTCAGACTCTCTCAGACCCTCTCAGACCCTCTTAGACTCTCTCAGACCCTCTCAGACCCTCTCAGACCCTCTTAGACTCTCTCAGACCCTCTTAGACCCTCTCAGACTCTCTCAGACCCTCTCAGACTCTCTCAGACCCTCTCTGACTCTCTCAGACCCTCTCAGACTCTCTCAGACCCTCTCAGACTCTCTCAGACCCCCTCAGACCCTCTCAGACTCTCTCAGACCCTCTTAGACCCTCTCTGACTCTCTCAGACCCTCTCAGACCCTCTCAGACTCTCTCAGACCCTCTCAGACTCTCTCAGACCCTCTTAGACCCTCTTAGACTCTCTCAGACCCTCTTAGACCCTCTCAGACTCTCTCAGACCCTCTCAGACTCTCTCAGACCCCCTCAGACCCTCTCTGACTCTCTCAGACCCTCTCTGACTCTCTCAGACCCTCTCAGACCCTCTTAGACCCTCTCTGACTCTCTCAGACCCTCTCAGACCCTCTCAGACTCTCTCAGACCCTCTCAGACTCTCTCAGACCCTCTTAGACCCTTTCAGACCCTCTCAGACTCTCTCAGACCCTCTCAGACTCTCTCAGACCCTCTCAGACACTCTCAGACCCTCTCTGACTCTCTCAGACCCTCTCAGACTCTCTCAGACCCTCTCAGACTCTCTCAGACCCCCTCAGACCCTCTCAGACTCTCTCAGACCCTCTTAGACCCTCTCTGACTCTCTCAGACCCTCTCAGACCCTCTCAGACTCTCTCAGACCCTCTCAGACTCTCTCAGACCCTCTTAGACCCTTTCAGACCCTCTCAGACTCTCTCAGACCCTCTCAGACCCTCTTAGACCCTCTCAGACCCTCTCAGATCCATGTGCTTCTGTTTCAGAGTGAACCAGGAGAAGATGAAGCGACAGACCATCCTCCCACCGGCAGCAAAGAACCACACACCCAAAGGCGAAAGGCCACGCCCAAGGGGTGAGACATGGTGCCAGCACATGGTACCAGCTAATGGTACCAGCTAACGATACCAGCGCACAGTACCAGCTGTAATTTAACTGTTATTGATAATACTGATAATATTGATATATCATATTTTGTACTTTTTCATTAGGCTAAAGCTAGAGATTTCTCCTCATTCCTTTTGTTCTGTAACCGGTGATGCAACACTGACATTTCTCCACTGTGGATCTCTCTCAATCTCTCTCGTAATCTCTCTTAATCTCTCCCCTAATCTCCTGGACCTCAGACAGAAGACCCTCTGGAGTGAGTGAGCCTGAGACTCAGGAGAGCCTGGCTCAGCTCATAGAGAGGGACGTGGTGAGTGACTCTCTCAGATTCTCTCACATTTGAGGAACTTTGTTAGAATCTCTCTGTTCTCAGCAAATCCTCAACTGTGCCCTGGACGACATTGAGATCTTTGTGTCGCGGCTGCAGAAGGCGGCGGAGGCCTTCTCTCAGCTCAACCAACGCAACAAGAGTAAGAAGAACAAGAAGAAAGCTCCAGCAGGTCTGTGGCTTTCTTCTTCTTCTGCTCCCGGAGGTGGACTGTCTGTGTCTCACTGTGTCTCTGCTCTGGTCCAAACGCTCTCCTGTTACATGTCCCCAATGGAGCAATTAGTTCTACAGTACAAAGGGATACATTAAAAACAACAGAAGAAAAACATTGTACATTCAAAAAAGTCCAGGACAGGACAAGGTCAGAGTTCAGAAAAGAGTGTTTATACCTGTATCTACTGCTCCTCACCATGGGGGACCTGAGCCTCGCACCAGAAGGCAAGTAACAGAATTCACCATGAAGAGGATGAGCATCATTACCCAGAATGCTCAGAGCCTTCCCTGTCACCTGACCAGAGAACAGAAAGTAGAGTCTGAGGAGCTCCCAATCTCTTAGAACTCAAATTTACAATCCTCTTTAGTGAGTTCGTGGCTTTTATGTTGAGAGTCCCAAAGCAACACATCAAAGAGAACGTTAGACTCCACACCAGATTTATACAACAGTCTCGTTATGGTCCTAGTCCACGGGAAATGACTCCTGACGTTCTGCTAATGTCACCTCCACGCTCAAGAGAGGGGCACGTTTCTGCTTTGTTTGCTTCCACTGGAGTCGGACGCAGCAGGTCACAGAGTCTGAAAATCACAACGTCTCATGTTATTAGCAATAAGTCGAGCTGGAACTGGCAAAAATGTGAGGATTCTACAGTATCGCGATATTTGGGCCACAATTCAATATTATCGTGATTCTTAACATATCGTGATACAGACCGTATGGGATTCTGTAATATATCGTGATTCATGTCCTTCATAGTAAGCAGACATCATAGAGTCACAACAAGCTGACATCATAGAGTCACACCAGACATCATAGAGTCACACCAGACATCATAGAGTCACACCAGACATCATAGAGTCACACCAGACATCATAGAGTCACAGCAGACATCATAGAGTCACAACAAGCAGACATAACAGAGTCACAACAAGCAGACATCATAGAGTCACAACAAGCAGACATCATAGAGTCACAACAAGCAGACGTCATAGAGTCACAGCAGACATCATAGAGTCACAGCAGACATCATAGAGTCACAGCAGACATCATAGAGTCACAGCAGACATCATAGAGTCACAGCAGACATCATAGAGTCACAACAAGCAGACATAACAGAGTCACAACAAGCAGACATCATAGAGTCACAACAAGCAGACGTCATAGAGTCACAGCAGACGTCATAGAGTCACAGCAGACATCATAGAGTCACAAAAAGCAGACATCATAGAGTCACAAAAAGCAGACATCATAGAGTCTCAAAAAGCAGACATCATAGAGTCACAACAAGCAGACATCATAGAGTCACAACAAGCAGACGTCAGAGTCACAGCAGACATCATAGTCACAACAAGCAGACATAACAGAGTCACAACAAGCAGACATCAGAGTCACAACAAGCAGACGTCATAGAGTCACTACAAGCAGACATCATAGAGTCACAACAAGCAGACATCATAGAGTCACAACAAGCAGACATCATAGAGTCACAACAAGCAGACGTCATAGAGTCACAACAAGCAGACGTCATAGAGTCACAACAAGCAGACGTCATAGAGTCACAACAAGCAGACGTCATAGAGTCACAACAAGCAGACGTCATAGTCACAACAAGCAGACATCATAGAGTCACAACAAGCAGACATCATAGAGTCACAACAAGCAGACATCATAGAGTCACAGCAGACATCATAGAGTCACAACAAGCAGACATAAGAGTCACAACAAGCAGACATAAGAGTCACAACAAGCAGACATCATAGAGTCACAACAAGCAGACATCATAGTCACAACAAGCAGACATCATAGAGTCACAACAAGCAGACATAGAGTCACAGCAGACATCATAGAGTCACAACAGACGTCATAGAGTCACAACAAGCAGACGTCATAGAGTCACAACAGACGTCATAGAGTCACAACAAGCAGACGTCATAGAGTCACACAAACCTCAGATAGATCATTCATTAATCAAATATCACAATACTTTACTTTATCAACTTTATTGTTTGTGCAAAATGTCGCAATACTGAACAGAGATGATTTTTGCCCCCAGCTTTAGTAATAACATGTGTTCTCAGACGAATGCTGTGATAGTTTGCCGTGTGTTCATCCATTCTGGAATTAATCTTCAAAGGAATCCACTTCTTCTTTGTGAGGATTTCTTTCTCAACTTTGTTCTAATGATTCGATAATGAGGTCACTGACACTGGGTCCACAAGTTGAGAAACAGTTTGAGTGTGTTCCGTCTCTGCTGCTACAGTGGGGTCAGAATGTGTCTGGGTTGGAGTCTCACGGCTGTCTTCTTCTTCTTCTTCTGTTGTGGCCGTGTGCAGAGGGCATGCTGACGCTCAGGGCCAAGCCTCCGTCTGAAGCAGAGTTCATCGCCAGTTTACAGAAACTCAAACTGGCCCTAAACCTTCTGGTAAAGGCTCTTCTTCTTCTTTCAAGTCCTCTGTCCTGCTCTGTACTCACGGGGCCTGTCATTGCTCCCCCTACAGGCCAAACTAAAGAAACACATCCAGAACCCCAACGCGTCGGAGCTGGTCCACTTCCTGTTCGGGCCTTTGGAGCTGGTGAGTCTGAGCGCTGTGACATCACACACAAAGGAGCAGCGAGTGTTGACCGAGCTCCAAGCTGTTTGAACACTGGGTCTTTGAAGTGTTGCTCCAAAGAACTGTTTGTGTTGCTTTGACTTTTCTTTCAACATGTGTGTTTTTGTTGCCATGGTCACGGCTTGGTAAACAAGAGAGAAAAGTTATCTCAGTGACTCCCTGGTTTTGTAACAGAGAGATAAGAGACGTGCATTAGCCAAACTCTACGCCCTGAGGTACAGAAGCAATGTTTCTGCAAATGTAGGATTGGAAATAGTGGTCAGTGGTTCATGACTAAACTGGGAGCACAGGTACTGGCCTCCTGCTGGGACTGAGGAGCCCAGGGACTGGCCTCCTGCTGGATCTCTGGGGAGCACAGGGACATGTAAGCTAGCTCTAGTCCTTCTGTAGCAGTGCTGTGTGTCTGATCAGTCTCTGGCCTCAGACCTTTGGACACAGAACGATAAGGCTCAGATTAACAGGGCCTTGTTCTCAGTCCTGTTTCCTTTTAAATGAAAGTGGGTCCATGTTCAGTCAATGTTTAGTCCTTGTTTGGTCCACGTTTAGTCCATGTTTAGTCCATGTTTGGTCCACGTTTAGTCCACATTTGGTCCATGTTTAGTCCCTGTTTAGTCCATGTTTGGTCCACGTTTAGTCCACGTTTGGTCCATGTTTGGTCCATGTTTGGTCCATTGTGTGCACCATGTGCACTTGTATATTGTATATAGTAATTGTAACTCTATTTTAAATGTATTCCTTAGAAGTGCTTTTTATTCTTTATTTTTTATTATGCCTCTCTACCCTTACCGCTCTTCTTTGACTGTTGCACTGAGCCAAAGTTAATTCCAAGTCTATGACTTCCTGTTACTCACGTGGCAATAAAAATGATTCTGATTCTGATGTTTGGTCCATGTTTGGTCCATGTTTGGTCCATGTTTGGTCCATGTTTGGTCCATGTTTGGTCCATGTTTGGTCCATGTTTGGTCCATGTTTGGTCCATGTTTGGTCCATGTTTAGTCCATGTTTGGTCCATGTTTGGGTCCAGGTCTTGCAGAGCTGTGGCAGTCCAGAGCTGGCCCGCTCCATCATCTCTCCTCATCTGTCCAGAGACACCGTGGACTTCCTCAGAGGTCACATGACGCCCAAAGAGTCGACCATCTTCGAGCTGCTGGGCGAGGGCTGGACCAAACCACGGTAATTTACTTCAGGTCTCAAGTAGAGACCACCAGGCCCTGCCCTGCTTAGCTTCAGAGGTCTGACAGGCTTTGGCCGTCACCTGCAGCTACGGCCATGGTGTCAGTGTACCCCCCCTCTGAGGGTCAATCATTCAAAATAAACTTTGATTCCCTTTATTGAACCCAAAGCCTCACATGGTATGGTACACAATGGTACGCAATGGTACATGATGATACATGATGGTACATGATGGTACGTGATGGTACACGACGGTACACGATGGTACATGATGATGGTACATGATGATGGTACATGATGATGGTACATGATGATGGTACATGATGATGGTACTTGATGGTACATGATGATGGTACATGATGATGGTACATGATGATGGTACACGATGATGGTACTTGATGGTACATGATGATGTTACTTGATGGTACATGATGATGGTACATGATGATGGTACATGATGATGGTACACGATGATGGTACTTGATGGTACATGATGATGGTACAGTACATGATGATGGTACTAGAGCTGCAACTAACGATTATTTTGTAATCGATTAATCTATCGATTATTTTTACGATTAATCGATTAATCGCTTGGCTGTGAATTGTGTAGAAAAACATTTTTTTTTCATCACAAAAAGCTAAAGTGGCAACACATGAGGACGTATTGATGGCGTAAACTTCAAGTAAATGTTTGTAACAGGCTCTTTGTGCTAATTCTGCTCTGATTGGATGAGACAGACAGATATTCATGAAATTATAAAAACAAAGTCGGTTTTAATCAAAAATACAAAATTTTCATGTCATTTTTGCTCTGTTTGAGTCCGTGTGAACCAGAAAACGATTAATCGATTACTAAAATAGTTGTCGACTATTTCAATAATCGATTAGTCGTCGATTAATCGATTAGTTGTTTCAGCCCTAGATGGTACATGATGATGGTACATGATGATGGTACACGATGATGGTACACGATGATGGTACTTGATGGTACATGATGATGGTACTTGATGGTACATGATGATGGTACATGATGATGGTTCATGATGATGGTACTTGATGGTACATGATGATGGTACATGATGATGGTACATGATGATGGTACATGATGATGGTTCATGATGATGGTACATGATGATGGTACATGATGATGGTACATGATGATGGTACATGATGATGGTTCATGATGATGGTTCATGATGATGGTACTTGATGGTACATGATGTTGATGATGGTACTTGTTGATGGTACATGATAATGGTTCATGATGATGGTACATGATGATGGTACATGATGATGGTACTTGATGGTACATGATGATGGTTCATGATGATGATACTTGATGGTACATGATGATGGTACATGATGATGGTACATGATGATGGTACATGATGATGGTACTTGATGGTACATGATGATGGTACATGATGATGGTACATGATGATGGTACTTGATGGTACATGATGATGGTACATGATGATGGTACATGATGATGGTACATGATGATGGTACATGATGGTACTTGATGGTACATGATGATGGTACATGATGATGGTACATGATGATGGTACATGATGATGGTACATGATGATGGTACATGATGGTACTTGATGGTTCTGTGTTGATGCTTCTTTGGTTGAATCTCTGGCGTCTCGTCCACAGAGCAGAGTGGCCCCCGGACAAGTGCGGGCCCCTGTACCTGCCTGTGTTCCTGAACGGCTGGGAGCCTCCAGCCGATCACTTTAGAACTGCACCATGGGAAACAGAGGGCCCCAAAGACCTGGGACCGGCTCCTGGCACCGTATGTAGAAGTTTACTCTTTGCTGGTGTTTGTCCTGGACATGGATCTATAACAGGATCTGGATAGTGTGTTACGAGCTTAAAGCTGTCCCACCAACGTCACGGTACTGCAGACTAAAGTCACAGGATATTTTCCCAGAATAATGTCCCATAGAACTGAGAGCTGATTGGCCGAGAGAGGGCCAGTCAGCTTCTGTCTGTAAAAGCTGATCTGAAAGCGGCTAAAAATACTTGTGTGAAAACTGCAAGTATTGGATTTTATTACGTGATTATTTTTTGTGTGGATTTTTTATTTTTATTATTGCCTTGTGTATGCACTGTACTTGTTTTACCAGTTTAGGAATTATAATTGTCATACATTTAAACTCAAAACAAAGTCAAACTTTGGATCTAATTGTTTTAGTAATTGTAATATTTATTATGATAAAATAAATAAATGTAGTTTTCATGAATGAGAGCCTCAAACAGATTGATTTAAACTGTTTTTTCTGTTTTTACAGTATCCTGGTCCGTCTGTTCCTTCGAGCGGGTGAGTAAACAACGACAATCTCACATCTGTAAACTCTGACCTCTGACCTTTCCTCTCCACAGATCTCATTCTCGTAAATTTGCCAAAATTCTTTATCATTTCGTGGCCAGAAACTCCAACGAGCTGTCGGTGCTGCAAGACGAGGTCCTGGAGGTGAGTCTTACTGAGACCTGAGGAACTGCCTCTGACCCTATACTGTAACTATACTGTATACAGTAGCTCAGCTGGTAGATTGACCTGGCCTTTGAGCCAGAGGGTCGTGGGGTCGAGCCCGATTTTCACCATCGACTCCCACTGTCTGCTGTCGTTGTGTCCTTGGCAAGACACTTAACCTCTGGGAACAGCAGGTGCCACAGTGGGGCGGCTGCGGCTGTAAAATGCCAAACTGCCGTTGTGTCCTTAGGCAAGACACTTCACCCCCATTGCCTAGAATGAGTCTGGTGTGTGTGTGAATGGTTGGTGGTGGTGGGAGGGGCCGATGGCACCTTCTGGTTGCCTCGCTTCTGTCAGTGTGCCCCAGGGCAGCTGTGGCTACAGTAGTAGTTTATCACCACCGTGTTTGGAGTGAATGAATAATGACATGTAAAGAGTCTTTGAGTGTCCAAAAAAGCGCTATATAAAACCGATGCATTATTATTATTATTATTATTATACTGTAACGGTACTGTAACTATACTTTTACTCGAGTACAGATTGTGTGTTTTTGCAGGTGATTGAAGCCAACAATCAGTGGTGGAAGTTGAGGAACCGCAGTGGACAGGCAGGGTACGTCCCCTTTAACATCCTGGACCTGGTGGAAGAACCAGAGGCACAGGTGAGACTCGACCTCATTACATCAAAGCACTTTGTTCTGGACGCATTGATGTCTAAGGCCTCGTTAATACAGAGGCGCTGCGCAGACGTTTCCAGGCTATGAACAGAAATGACCAGGCTCCTTATGCAAATTTCACAGCGTTCCTACGAGGATCAGAAACAATGTAGTTATAGCGCCCGGACAGTAGGGGGCAGAGGAACTTTACAACACGACACACGCGAGCCCCAGCCCCCCCAGCAGTATACTCACTTCCTCAACAACATCCTCTGCAAGACGTGAACAAACCAACATCATTCTGCATTTTAACAGCAGCTGCGAAAATGGAAACTGAAACTAGAGCCTCGCGTGGTCTCGTTTGGACGAACGAAGGAGTAGAATCCTCCTCTGTGCAGCGCTCGAAGCACACGTAGCTAGTTAGTGTACCCGTCGCCATTGTTGTTTACATTTGTTCTACTGCGCATGTCCAAATTTACGTGCGGAGAGGAGCAGTGGGAGGTGGGGGTCAGAGCAGCGGAGAATTCACACCTTCTTCTTCACTCGAGTGTGAAAGAGCGCCCCCTGCTGAGCAGCGTATTTGAGCTGTCCCACTGGATCTGAACACTAACGTTTTCACCTGGAACACGGTCTCTGTATGAACGGGGGGTAGTAACGACACCAACTATAGCGTTTTACTGCTGCATTTTCTCTGTGTAAACTGGGCCAAAAAGTCACAAACACATACAATCATAACTGGATGAGCTAAGATAAGGTTAGATATGAATAAATAAAGTAAGATAAGTTAAGATAAGACTTCTTTCTTCAGGAGGATCAGTTTCAAAGGGTCTTATAGAAACGTTTACTTGTGTCTTTTGTGAATGAATCATAAACTCTTGATTCAAAAACATAAAGTCTGTCGTTCTGAGGCCGACTCACATCAAACTAAACCCCTTTTCCAGTCATTTTAAACACTGACATCAATAATGCCATTTGTAGAGCCTTTTTCCACCTACGCAATATCTCCGCCCGTCTCTCTCCCAACTCCGCCCGTCTCTCTCCCAACTCCGCCCATCTCTCTCCCAACACTGCACTCAGGTCCTGGTTCATGCATTTGTCACGTCCCGTCTGGACTATTGTAACGTCCTTCTCACTGGTTTACCCCAAAAACAAACGAACAAAATCAACAGATCCCATCACTGCGGTTCTCACCCAACTCCACTGACTCCCCATAACCCTCAGAATCCAGTTTAAACTCCTCCTTCTCACATTCAAAACTCTCCATAACCTGGCTCTGTCATACCTGAGTGACCTGCTCCACCCATACACCTACCACCGACCCACCCACCGTGTCATTATTATTATTATTATCATCATGTTCCTCAGTAGATTCCTGCAGCAGTGAGAGTCACGCCCTGTCGCAGTTTCACACTAACTTTGGCTCAGGCTCAAAAATGTTCAAAGACAAACCAGTTTTTACAATAATAGATCCTGTGGACCGGCGGCGCAGTGGTTAGCACTTGTCCTGGGTTTGATTCCACCTCCAGACCTTACCGCGTGGAGTCTGCATGTTCTCCTCGTGTCTGTGTAGGTTTCCTCCAGGTGCTCCGGTTTCCCCTACCACTAAAAACATGTACAGTCTGGGATGTGCCTCCTGTCGGTGACCCCGCTCCCATCTCTGTCTTTATATTTGAATAAAAATGATCTACTTACTATATTGTGTGTGTGTGTGTGTGTGTGTTCGTCTGGTGTGTGTGCGTCTGTGTGTGTGTGTTTGTGTCTGTGTGTGCGTGTGTGTGTGTTTGCAGGGCTACATGCCGCCGCTGAGTCCTCTGAGTCCCCCGAGTCCACTACAGTCTCGTGAGTTTTCTTTCAAAATTCGCACAAGCAATGTTGACTTTATATTTAACTGTGGCCATGGTTACAATTATGAAACCTAAAGTTCAAAGACTACAGCAATGACTGATATTTAAAAAAAAAAATCTTTAGCTTTAGCATAACAAAGAAGATATTGTATTGTACTGTTACGTGGCTTCTCGTCCCTCTGGTGGCAGCATAGGGTATTACAGGCTTGGTTTACTCTATACTTGGTTCACCAGATGGTTACTATTGAAGATACTATTTCTCATTCTAAAACATGAAATGACAAAGTAAATAAAGTATTATTATCATTTGTCAGAAGTCATAAACAAAGCATGTCTTGTTTTTGTCCGTGTAGCGATGAACCAAGTGAATGAGGAGTTGTTGTTGCAAATCACAGCGAACAAACCGAAGCCGATGAAGCCGATAATCCATGTCCCGGCGAAGCCTCAGGTCCCTCTGACCTTTGACTCTGCTCCGGATCAGGTCGTTCTGTGGCTCAACTCCAAGGACTTCTCCAAACAGTGAGTCCAAGCACCGTCCTTGTGTCTCTGTGAATGTGCGTGTCTGTCTCTGTGTCTGTCTGTCTCTGTCTCTGTCTCTGTGTCTGTCTCTGTGTCTGTCTCTGTGTCTGTCTCTGTGTCTGTCTCTGTGTCTGTCTGTGTCTGTCTCTGTGTCTGTCTCTGTGTCTGTCTCTGTGTCTGTCTCTGTGTCTGTCTGTCTCTGTCTCTGTGTCTGTCTCTGTGTCTGTCTCTGTGTCTGTGTCTGTCTCTGTGTCTGTCTCTGTGTCTGTCTCTGTGTCTGTGTCTGTCTCTGTGTCTGTGTCTGTCTCTGTCTCTGTGTCTGTCTCTGTGTCTGTCTCTGTGTCTGTCTCTGTGTCTGTCTCTGTGTCTGTCCCTATCTCTGTCTCTGTGTCTGTCTCTGTGTCTGTCTCTGTGTCTGTCTCTGTCTCTGTGTCTGTGTCTGTCTCTGTGTCTGTGTCTGTCTCTGTGTGTCTGTGTCTGTCTCTGTCTCTGTGTCTGTCTTTGTGTCTGTCTCTGTGTCTGTCTCTGTGTCTGTCTCTGTGTCTGTCTCTGTCTCTGTCCCTCCTGCTGGGACTCAGGAGCACAGGGACTGGCCTCCTGCTGGGACTCAGGAGCACAGGGACTGGCCTCCTGCTTATAATTACACAGCTAGAATGTGGAACAATCTTCCTGAAATGTGAGACAGGATTCTTCACTGACAAAGTTGGCAATTTCTCCAAATGAAGTGATTCTAAAGATTTTCTCCTGCTACAAATCCTCTCTGTAAAAACACCAACATCAGTGTTTCTCCTCTTGTATGTTTCCTGTATGTTTCCTGTATGTTTCCTGTATGTTTCCTGTATGTTTCCTGTAGGTTTCCTGTACGTTTCCTGTATGTTTCCTGTATGTTTCCAGGACAGTTGAGTGCCTGGGGATCTTGACTGGAGCTCAGCTGTTTTCTCTGAACAAAGAGGAGCTGAGAGCAGTGTGTGGACAAGAAGGAAACAGAGTCTACAGCCAGATGACCGCCACCAAGGCCAAGCTGGAGGTGTGTTATATAGACTGTTATATATACTGTTATATAGACTGTTCAATTCAATTCAATTTTTTTATTCACAAAACTCGTAGCCATATTGGTTATACACTTGTACAATGTAGTGTTGGTTGGTGTTTTGTAAAGGGAACTCCCAGGAAGCTGCATTAGCTTATAGACGGGGCCCCAAAAACAACACATAACACATAAAACAGCACATGCAGAAACAAGTGTAACATTCCATACTACTACACAATCCCAAACCCACTTACAAACACCCCACCCATCTATAGGTCCCCACAGTTGCAGTCTCAGTCATTCGGTTCATTTTCCAATAGATTGGTCTTAGTCATAGTACAGTAACTTTTTACACATTGATATTAACACAGCAAACGTGCCACATAATAATTCACTTCATCCATGATACAGGAACAAAACAATAAACACATTACAAGTTTCTTTACCCGTTTACAGTTCTCAGCCCGGGGCTCATAATGTTGTTTAATGTTGGAGCAAACTGTGTTTCAATCTTATTTTTTAAGTTCTCAATTATTTTGATTGAGTAATAGGACTGTCCAGCTCATTCCAGATGTTTGGACCTTTGCAGGTGATACTAAAACTGGTACATTTGAGTTTGCGGCAAAAATTATTTTGTGTAAAATATCAGTTGAATTTGTTAAGTCATTTATGTATGTAATGAAAAGAAGTGGTCCTAGTATTGAACCCTGTGGTACCCCACATTTGATAGTTTTGTTTTGAGATTTGTAACTGTTTATTTGTACATATTGCTCTCTCTCAGATAGATCGCTTCTGAACCAATCAAGGGCAACACCCCTGACACCATAATGCTCAAGTTTCCCCAGCAATATATCAAAATTGATGGTATCGAATGCTTTTGACAAGTCAAGGAAAACACCAACTCCACACTCGCCTTTGTCAATAGCATCATTTACTTTTTCAACAAGATCTAAAATAGCCATACAGGTTGTGCTCTGTTTCCTAAAACCATACTGTCATATAGACTGTCATATATACTGTTATATAGACTGTAATGTGTGTGTGTGTCCGCAGCAGAGCAGCAGTGCGACCTCTGAGCTGCAGGAGATCATGAAGCGACAACAGGAGAAGATCGACTCCAGCTCCACCTGACCCTGATTCTTACGTGTATTTATTTTGTATCAGTGTCGGACGTGATTCAGTGTAAAAATGGACGCAGCGTGACGTGTGTGACCCGTGTTTAATAACATGTAAAAACCGTGTAATAACATGTAATAACCATGAACTTCTGTCTGTGCCACAATAAAAACAACTTATTTTTATCCTGTTTTTCCTGAATCACAGAAACAAACACAAAACATTTAATTTGAAGAATTTTATTAAGTTCAAAGCAAACTCAGGACTGTCGAGACCAGAGATTGTAAACCAGGGCTCTCCAACCTGTAGACCAGGAGCTACCAGTAGCTCCCCAAAGGATTTAGAAATGAACAAATCAAAATTGAATATTTCAGATTGCCTTTTTTGTCCCAGGACAGTAGCTCTCTGCCTTTATTGTCCCGGGACAGTAGCTCACTGTCTTTATTGTCCCGGGACAGTAGCTGTCTGCCTTTGTCGTCCCGGGACATTAGCTCTCTGCCTTTATTGTCCCGGGACAGTAGCTCTCTGGGTGAAAAAGGTTGGGGACTCCTGCTGTAAATATTTGGGACTTTCTAAAATCCTGGTTTTTTGTCTCAAAACAAACTCTCCTCTTCCTGATCCTCGGACAGTCCTGAGCAGAGACAGATTTCTCTCTCCACACACCTCCTCCAGCTCATCTGGCTTCTCTCCATGTGGGGGAGCAGTGACTCTACCCTGAGCTCCTCCTGTGACAGATCTCCTATCTCTGAGGCAGCTCCCAGGCACTTGCATCTGTGATCTCAGGACCAGAGGTAAGAGAGGGAACCTAGAGCTCTGACTGCAGACGCTGCTCCCTCTTCACCACCAGTCTGATAAAGCTCTGGCTGCTCTGGCTGCAGACGCTGCTCCCTCACTGTTAACCAGACCTGATCGATTGGCATTTCAATAAAACCAATAAATTATCATCATATTTAACCTTAAACCATCAGTTTTTATCCATAACTTTGACCAGATTCAAAGAAAAAACATTTGAATATTTTTCTTCGCTCAGAACCAAACACGAGACGTCGAGAGTCCGGGGTCAGTCTCTGGTCATGACAGATCAGTTTTAATCATTGAAAAGTCTCAGAAATAGAAAAATAGACCAACATTTAAAGTTGCACTCTTAGTTTGAACACGAGGAGGATATTGTTTCACCTGGAATCTCTCTGGCAAAAAACAAACTTCAAAAATGTATCAATTTTGGATCATTCCAGGAAAATCAATAATAACATTTACACTGAACACACCATAGATCAAAGAACCATCTCTAGCTGGAAATAAACCAGATTAGATGATTTTACACCATTTTACATTCACTCTCAACCGGTGAAAACTTTGAAAAAACTGGTCATTTTTTTTTATGTTTATCCCTTGAATTTAGGATCACAAGTTTACTCCACAGACATCAAGAAACGTGAGAAATATCTAACCTTTTATGAAATTATTATTATTTTGGAACCAGTAAAAATCAGAGTCTCTTTATAACGGAGACTGATGTGATTTACATGTGAAGATACGCGTCCAGCCACAGCTCTCCGGAGTTTTTCAGACACCTGTGAACGCATCACGGAAGAGTCAGTTTATTATTATTACTAAATGTTTTATTATATTATATATTTTGTATTAAGTATAATTATTATTATTATTAGTATTATTATATTTACCGGAAGACGTCAGCGATGGCGGTGCTCAGAGGTTTCTTCTGATAAACAATCCCATGTTTTTTACACAGAGCCTGAACACGTGGCGCCACCTGCTGGTAGTTATGACGTGGCATCGTGGGAAACAGACTGAAAAGAGATGGAAATGAGTGAATATGTGGAATGGAAAGACTACGAAAGACACAAATATGAATAAGAAAGATTTTATAATACACAAAAATAAGAATTTAATATTTAACATTTGTATTATGAGCAGACAAAGGTATAGATTTAATACATACATACATTAGACAAACAGAGACAGAGGCGACAAAAGGCTGACGTAGAAGAGACAGAGAATTTAGTTTTAATTATAATTGAATAATCTAAGAATTAAAAAAAACATGTACATACATATATACGAACACATGCACACATACTTCTAATATTCTCCATGTCACAGAATCAACATTTTAAAGATACCAAAGTGGTCCATCTGTCCTACATTTTCTTCTGCTTTATCCGTTGCCGGGTGGTGGGGGCAGCAGTCTGAGCAGAGTGGTCCAAATGATCACTTTTCTGTCTAAAATCTGATCTAAAGTTTAGGGTCTCTCTCCTCAGCCTCTGAGGGAGGAACGAGACAAGAGAGGAGGAGGTGTGTGGAGAGGAGGAGACAACGAGGTGTGTGGAGAGGAGACGAGGAGGTGTGTGGAGAGGAGGAGACAACGAGGTGTGTGGAGAGGAGGAGATAAGGAGGTGTGTGGAGAGGAGGAGACAACAAGGTGTGTGGAGAGGAGGAGACAACGAGGTGTGTGGAGAGGAGGAGATAAGGAGGTGTGTGGAGAGGAGGAGACAACAAGGTGTGTGGAGAGGAGGAGACAAGGAGGTGTGTGGAGAGGAGGAGACAAGGAGGTGTGTGGAGAGGAGGAGACAAAGAGGTGTGTGGAGAGGAGGAGACAAGGAGGTGTGTGGAGAGGAGGAGACAAGGAGGTGTGTGGAGAGGAGGAGACAAAGAGGTGTGTGGAGAGGAGGAGACAAGGAGGTGTGTGGAGAGGAGGAGACAAGGAGGTGTGTGGCGAGGAGGAGACAACGAGGTGTGTGGAGAGGAGGAGATAAGGAGGTGTGTGGGGAGGAGGAGACAAGGAGGTGTGTGGGGAGGAGGAGACAAGGAGGTGTGTGGAGAAGAGACAAGGAGGTGTTTGGAGAGGAGGAGACAAGGAGGTGTGTGGAGAGGAGGAGACAAGGAGGTGTGTGGGGAGGAGGAGACAAGGAGGTGTTTGGAGAGGAGGAGACAAGGAGGTGTGTGGAGAGGAGGAGACAAGGAGGTGTGGAGAAGGAGAGAAGGAGGTGTGTGGAGAGGAGGAGACAAGGAGGTGTGTGGAGAGGAGACGAGGAGGTGTTTGGAGAGGAGGAGAGAAGGAGGTGTGTGGAGAGGAGACAACGAGGTGTGTGGAGAGGAGGAGATAAGGAGGTGTGTGGAGAGGAGACAACAAGGTGTGTGGAGAGGAGGAGACAAGGAGGTGTGTGGAGAGGAGGAGACAAGGAGGTGTGTGGAGAGGAGGAGACAAAGAGGTGTGTGGAGAGGAGGAGATAAGGAGGTGTGTGGAGAGGAGGAGACAAGGAGGTGTGTGGCGAGGAGGAGACAACGAGGTGTGTGGAGAGGAGGAGATAAGGAGGTGTGTGGGGAGGAGGAGACAAGGAGGTGTGTGGGGAGGAGGAGACAAGGAGGTGTGTGGAGAAGAGGAGACAAGGAGGTGTTTGGAGAGGAGGAGACAAGGAGGTGTGTGGAGAGGAGGAGACAAGGAGGTGTGTGGGGAGGAGGAGACAAGGAGGTGTTTGGGAGAGGGAGACAAGGAGGTGTGTGGAGGAGGAGACAAGGAGGTGTGGAGAAGGAGAGAAGGAGGTGTGTGGAGAGGAGGAGACAAGGAGGTGTGTGGAGAGGAGACGAGGAGGTGTTTGGAGAGGAGGAGACAAGGAGGTGTGGAGAAGGAGAGAAGGAGGTGTGTGGAGAGGAGGAGACAAGGAGGTGTGTGGAGAGGAGGAGACAAGGAGGTGTGTGGAGAGGAGACAAGGAGGTGTGTGGAGAGGAGGAGACAAGGAGGTGTGTGGAGAGGAGGAGACAAGGAGGTGTGTGGAGAGGAGGAGATAAGGAGGTGTGTGGAGAGGAGGAGATAAGGAGGTGTGTGGAGAGGAGGAGATAAGGAGGTGTGTGGAGAGCAGGAGATAAGGAGGTGTATGGAGAGCAGGAGACAAGGAGGTGTGTGGAGAGCAGGAGACAAGGAGGTGTGTGGAGAGCAGGAGACAAGGAGGTGTGTGGAGAGGAGGAGACAAGGAGGTGTGTGGAGAGGAGGAGACAAGGAGGTGTGTGGAGAGGAGGAGACAAAGAGGTGTGTGGAGAGGAGGAGACAAGGAGGTGTGTGGAGAGGAGGAGACAAGGAGGTGTGTGGAGAGGAGGAGACAACGAGGTGTGTGGAGAGGAGGAGATAAGGAGGTGTGTGGGGAGGAGGAGACAAGGAGGTGTGTGGGGAGGAGGAGACAAGGAGGTGTGTGGGGAGGAGGAGACAAGGAGGTGTGTGGAGAGGAGGAGACAAGGAGGTGTGTGGGGAGGAGGAGACAAGGAGGTGTTTGGAGAGGAGGAGACAAGGAGGTGTGTGGAGAGGAGGAGACAAGGAGGTGTGGAGAAGGAGAGAAGGAGGTGTTTGGAGAGGAGGAGACAAGGAGGTGTGTGGAGAGGAGGAGACAAGGAGGTGTGTGGGGAGGAGGAGACAAGGAGGTGTGTGGAGAGGAGGAGACAAGGAGGTGTGTGGAGAGGAGGAGACAAGGAGGTGTGGAGAAGGAGAGAAGGAGGTGTGTGGAGAGGAGGAGACAAGGAGGTGTGTGGAGAGGAGGAGACAAGGAGGTGTGTGGAGAGGAGACGAGGAGGTGTTTGGAGAGGAGGAGACAAGGAGGTGTGGAGAAGGAGAGAAGGAGGTGTGTGGAGAGGAGGAGACAAGGAGGTGTGTGGAGAGGAGGAGACAAGGAGGTGTGTGGGAGAGGAGACAAGGAGGTGTGTGGAGAGGAGGAGACAAGGAGGTGTGTGGAGAGGAGGAGACAAGGAGGTGTGTGGAGAGGAGGAGATAAGGAGGTGTGTGGAGAGGAGGAGACAAGGAGGTGTGTGGAGAGGAGGAGACAACGAGGTGTGTGGAGAGGAGGAGACAAGGAGGTGTGTGGAGAGCAGGAGATAAGGAGGTATGTGGAGAGGAGGAGACAACGAGGTGTGTGGAGAGGAGACAAGGAGGTGTGTGGAGAGGAGGAGACAAGGAGGTGTGTGGAGAAGGAGACAAGGAGGTGTGTGGGGAGGAGGAGGTGTGGAGAGGAGGAGGCGTGGTCTTACTGGTGCTCGATCTGGAAGTTGAGGTGTCCACTGAACCAGTCATTGAAGGTCGACTGCTCCACGTTACATGTGGCCTGAAGCTGAAGCAGAGACCAGAGTGAGACCAGAGAGACCAGAGAGACCAGAGAGAGAGACCAGAGTGAGACCAGAGTGAGACCAGAGAGAGAGAGACCAGAGAGAGAGACAAGAGAGAGACCAGAGTGAGACCAGAGAGACTAGAGAGACCAGAGAGAGAGACAAGAGAGAGACCAGAGAGACCAGAGAGAGACCAGAGAGAGAGACCAGAGAGAGAGACCAGAGAGAGACCAGAGAGAGACCAGAGAGAGACCAGAAAGACCAGAGAGAGACCAGAGAGACTAGAGAGACCAGAGAGACCAGAGAGAGAGACAAGAGAGAGACCAGAGTGAGACCAGAGAGACTAGAGAGACCAGAGAGAGAGACAAGAGAGAGACCAGAGAGACCAGAGAGAGACCAGAGAAAGAGACCAGAGAGAGACCAGAGAGAGACCAGAGAAAGACCAGAGAGAGACCAGAGAGACTAGAGAGACCAGAGAGACCAGAGAGAGAGACAAGAGAGAGACCAGAGAGAGACCAGAGAGAGACCAGAGAGAGAGACCAGAGAGAGACCAGAGAGAGACCAGAGAGAGACCAGAGAGAGAGACCAGAGAGAGAGACCAGAGAGAGAGACCAGAGAGAGACCAGAGAGAGACCAGAGAGAGACCAGAGAGAGAGACCAGAGAGAGACCAGAGAGTGTCTAGACTAGAGAGAGACCAGAGAGAGACCAGAGAGAGAGAGACCAGAGAGAGACCAGAGAGAGAGACCAGAGAGAGACCAGAGAGAGACCAGAGAGAGAGACCAGAGAGAGAGACCAGAGAAAGACCAGAGAGAGACCAGAGAGAGACCAGAGAGAGACCAGAGAGAGAGACCAGAGAGAGAGACCAGAGAGAGACCAGAGAGAGACCAGAGAGAGACCAGAGAGAGACCAGAGAAAGACCAGAGAGAGACCAGAGAGAGACCAGAGAGAGACCAGAGAGAGACCAGAGAGAGACCAGAGAGAGACCAGAGAAAGACCAGAGAGAGACCAGAGAGAGTCTGTGTGTGTGTTTTGTCCTTGGTGTGGTACAGTCACATATAAGCATCACATTATGAGTAAAATTACAGAAAGAAATTAACTTTTTAACAATATTCTGCACCTGTTTATGGTGCAGAATATTGCACCATAAACTTTATTTAAAACTAAGGTAATATGTTCTGATGTACAGTGTGTAGCGCGGACCTGCATACTCAGCCAGTCCTGGTGCCGCTCGTGGTCGATCTCCATGCTCAGGTGGTTCATCTGCGTCACCCAAACAAACCAGTGACTCTCCAGAAACCTGCACCACAACAGAATGCTTTCAATTCGTTAAAGGAGCAGTCTGTAAACATGTGGCCAAAAGTGGTACTGCAGCCTCTCCCACTCTCCCTGACTCAGGTTGCCAGATATGCAGACGAATCCAGCTGGGACCATAACAGCTGAATAGACAAGAGTTTTGTCAACAACAAATCTATAACCAACACCTTTTTCACAAAGATAGAAATCCTGGTTTTATTCCTTGTTTTGTCATTAATAATTTGAGAATCATAACGAGACTATTTTTAGTTCTGCGCCACATGGTCCTTTACCAGTGAGAATCACACTGCTCTGCCAGCCCCGAGCCTCAGCCAATCACAGCTCGGCCAGCCCCCTGCCAAGCACTGACAGCTAAGTGGACAATATAAAAGAAGCCACTTCCTACTAACCAGCGATTGTCAAAGCTCTTGACACCCACCGCCCCCCCAGCACCTCCTCAAGCTCCTGCTCTGGCTCCTGCCCTGGCTCCTGCCCTGGCTCCTGCTCTGGCTCCTGCTCTGGCTCCTGCTCTGGCTCCTGCTCCTGATCTGGCTCCTGCTCTGGCTCCTGCCCTGGCTCCTGCTCCTGATCTGGCTCCTGCTCTGGCTCCTGCTCTGGCTCCTGCTCTGGCTCCTGCTCCTGCTCTGGCTCCTGCTCTGGCTCCTGCCCTGGCTCCTGCCCTGGCTCCTGCTCTGGCTCCTGCCCTGGCTCCTGCCCTGGCTCCTGCCCTGGCTCCTGCCCTGGCTCCTGCCCTGGCTCCTGCTCTGCCTGTGCCCCATTCACACCATGCCTATAGCCACCACCAGTGCTTGACCCCGGGGGGTCTGAGATCATCTACAGCAGCAGACGATCTCCCCTCTGCAAGTGTCAATGCCGGGGTCAATGAGCCAAACAAATAAATATTTTTCATGCATTAATGTTTCTGTCTTGGTCTCTTCAGATTGAACTACTATCAGTTAAAAAAGTATTGGAAAAGTATTGGAAAATAATAGGTTTTAATATTATGACAGATTAGGGCCCTTTAACTCATCGACTGCTGCAGTTTTTGATGATTTTACTGATTCTCAAGACCCACAGAATATTATTTGCTAAGACTGTGAAATGTCAAACCAGATTCTGAAAGACTGGATACATTCTTTGATCAGCAACAATAAGTTTGTTTTTAAGATATTTTTATTGTCCTGTAATCCCCAGTCGAATAGAGGGTCTCAGACAAATACGTCAATGGTAGTCAATGAGATCATGATGACAGATTAGGGCCCTTTAATGATGTTAGATTAGGGCCCTTTAATGATGTTAGATTAGGGCCCTTTAATTATGTTAGATTAGGGCCCTGCGCTTGTTAGAGACAAGTTGATGATTTTAAGTCCCAATTTAAGATGCATGTGTTTAGACAGTCCTTCTCGCCTCCCTGCTCATAGGCCTCTGAACTGTGTAAACTGTGTTTTTCTGTGTTTTGTTTTTAATCTGATTTGTATATGTATATAGACTAATAAAGGTTTATCTTATCTTATTTTATGTGTTTTAATGTGTGAAGCGCTTTGTGATCCTGGTCTGTGAAAGGTGCTATACAAATAAACTTTACTTACTTACTTACTTAGATTAGGGCCCTATAATGATGACAGATTAAGGCCCTTTAATGATGACGGATTAGGGCCCTATAATGATGACAGATTAAGGCCCTATAATGATGACAGATTAGGGCTCTATAATGATGACAGATTAAGGCCCTTTAATGATGACAGATTAGGGCCCTTTAATGATGACATATTAGGGCCCTTTAATGATGACATATTAGGGCCCTTTAATGATGACAGATTAAGGCCCAATAATGATGACAGATTAGGGCCCTATAATGATGACAGATTAAGGCCCTATAATGATGACAGATTAGGGCCCTTTAATGATGTTAGATTAGGGCCCTATAATGATGACAGATTAGGGCCCTATAATGATGACAGATTAAGGCCCTATAATGATGACAGATTAGGGCCCTTTAATGATGTTAGATTAGGGCCCTATAATGATGTTAGATTAGGGCCCTATAATAATGACAGATTAAGGCCCTATAATGATGACAGATTAGGGCCCTATAATAATGACAGATTAAGGCCCTATAATGATGACATATTAGGGCCCTTTAATGATGACAGATTAGGGCCCTATAATGATGACAGATTAAGGCCCTATAATGATGACAGATTAGGGCCCTTTAATGATGTTAGATTAGGGCCCTATAATGATGTTAGTTTAGGGCCCTATAATAATGACAGATTAAGGCCCTATAATGATGACAGATTAGGGCCCTATAATGATGACAGATTAAGGCCCTATAATGATGACAAATTAGGGCCCTTTAATGATGACAGATTAAATCTTACATTTTCTTACTGTAAATGAAAGGAACTTTACAAACCTGACCAAAGTGAGGAACGCCACAGATCCCCAGAATCCAAACAGAGGAACGAAACACAGAAAGTATCTGAGGTAGTACGTCAGAGACCAACACAGGTCCTGAGGAAACAGAAAACACAGCTTTCTACATTTCTACAAACATCACGTGTCAATCAAAGACTTTCTTCACATTAGTCTCTCGTCTGATGTTCTTTGCTTCATTGATTCTGTTTCTTTGCTTCTGTCGACTTTATCTCTTCCGGACAAAGCACATAGTTTCATTCATGACTTTGATGTGAAACTTGTGTCTTTGCTTCTGTCGACTTTATCTCCTCCGGACGAAGCACATAGTTTCATTCATGACTTTGATGTGAAACTTGTTTCACATCAAAGTCACTCCCACTTCTGAGGGAGATGGAAGCTGAAACATGGCCGTCTTACAATCGTTGAAGCTACAGCTGAAGAACCTAATATATGTTTGTGTTTGTAGTGATCCAGGTGTGACCGTGAACTTTGCTTCAGCGTCAAGAGTTTGAACGGTTTTTGCTGATGACGGATCCTCGCACAAGAAAATAAATACAAGTGAATCTAGGGACAATTCTGAGCTGAATCTCATTTTATATGGAAAGGTCAGGTCAGACTCAGACTCAGGGGCTAAATCCGGCCTTCGAAACTATTATTAGTGGCCTCTGAAATGATTTCCAATAATCTTTATGACAGTAATTTAGCATTGATGGTAATGGGCTACTATGGCATGTTACACATCATTTTAAATCCTTTTGTCTCAGGAAAACACCTATGTAATTGTGTCTGTTCTAAAATAATATTCAAAGTCATGTCAAATACATGACTTTGACTTTTTGATTTAAAAATATGTAAACATCTGTCTTGGAGGGATCGGTGGGAGGTTTCTCACTTTTCTCCCACTGGGTTTTTGTAGACCCTCTTTGATGCAGGAGGGTCTGAGGACAGAGAGGATCCAGGACACAACATTTATGGACATCCTTATGGACCAATGTCTCTGTGTGTTTGAGAGACCACTACTGTTTATGTGATTTAGGGCGATTGCAGAATACATGGATGTGAATGTTACCTCCCAGTTCCTGCGTTGGATGGTGCGGTACATGGCCTGGAGGTGGAACACGACCGGGATGATCAGAGGAGGACCAACTGCAGGAGGAAGGAGAACGCATGTTATTCGAGATATAAAATCAAATGCCTCCAAGACCCTGCCACGGATAAAGCAGAAGAAAGTAGATTGGTGAGATCTGAAGGGAAACTCCAAGGAAACCTGCAGCACCAAATGTACTTTTGGACAGAGACAGAGGCAGAGGCAGGGGCAGAGGCAGAGACAGAGGCAGAGACAGAGGCAGAGACAGAGACAGAGACAGAGGCAGAGGCAGAGACAGAGGCAGAGGCAGAGACAGAGGCAGAGACAGAGGCAGAGGCAGAGGCAGAGGCAGAGACAGAGGCAGAGACAGAGACAGAGGCAGAGGCAGAGACAGAGGCAGAGACAGAGGCAGAGACAGAGACAGAGACAGAGACAGAGGCAGAGGCAGAGACAGAGGCAGAGACAGAGACAGAGACAGAGGCAGAGGCAGAGGCAGAGGCAGAGGCAGAGACAGAGGCAGAGACAGAGACAGAGGCAGAGGCAGGGGCAGAGACAGAGGCAGAGGCAGAGACAGAGGCAGAGACAGAGGCAGAGGCAGAGGCAGAGACAGAGACAGAGACAGAGACAGAGGCAGGGACAGAGGCAGAGACAGAGACAGAGGCAGAGGCAGAGACAGAGGCAGAGGCAGAGACAGAGGCAGAGGCAGAGACAGAGACAGAGGCAGAGGCAGAGACAGAGGCAGAGACAGAGGCAGAGACAGAGGCAGAGGCAGAGACAGAGACAGAGACAGAGGCAGAGGCAGAGACAGAGGCAGAGACAGAGACAGAGGCAGAGGCAGAGGCAGAGGCAGGGGCAGGGGCAGAGGCAGAGACAGAGGCAGAGACAGAGACAGAGGCAGGGACAGAGGCAGAGGCAGAGACAGAGGCAGAGGCAGAGGCAGGGGCAGGGGCAGAGGCAGGGACAGAGGCAGAGGCAGAGACAGAGGCAGAGACAGAGGCAGAGGCAGAGGCAGAGACAGAGGCAGAGGCAGAGACAGAGGCAGAGACAGAGGCAGAGGCAGAGGCAGAGACAGAGACAGAGACAGAGACAGAGACAGAGACAGAGACAGAGGCAGAGGCAGAGGCAGAGGCAGAGGCAGAGGCAGAGACAGAGACAGAGGCAGAGACAGAGACAGAGGCAGAGGCAGAGACAGAGACAGAGGCAGAGACAGAGGCAGAGGCAGAGACAGAGACAGAGGCAGAGGCAGAGGCAGAGGCAGAGGCAGAGGCAGAGACAGAGGCAGAGACAGAGGCAGAGGCAGGGGCAGAGGCAGAGACAGAGACAGAGGCAGAGGCAGAGACAGAGACAGAGGCAGAGGCAGAGACAGAGGCAGAGGCAGAGACAGATCCTAATGCCTACTTTACAAAAGGCAAAACAGGTCTTCACATTCAGGAAGTATCCAAATGTGTTTGAGATAAACACGCACATCCTGGATCTGTGTGTCCTGCAAACATTTCACTGAGTTTTCTGAGAAACTGGTCCTGAACCAAAGCTTTTACAGGTGAAAATGAAAAGAGACTAGAACACAGAGTCAGCACTAGGGTTGGGCGATATTTTTTTTGTACCGGTATACCGGTATAAGTAAATTAAATGATAAGAAAATGCCTTATACCGGTGAAAACGATCATTTAACACTGAAAACAGCGAGCGGAAGACACGTTTGTGTGCGGCGCACTTTGATGACGCATCTGCGCGGCACGTGTAGCAGAGCGGCGTGCAGGGACAACAACAACAGAGCAGAGAGCAAACATGGCTGAGTGCGGCGGTGAAGACCGTGGGACAGTGGATCTAATGTTGTGAAAGCAGCTGCCTCTCTCTCTCTCTCTCTCTCTCTCTCTCTCTCTCTCTCTCTCTCTCTCTCTCTCTCTCTCTCTCTCTCTCTCTCTCTCTCTCTCTCTCTCTCTCTCTCTCTCTCTCTCTCTCTCTCTCTCTCTCTCTCTCTCTCTCTCTCTCTCTCTCTCTCTCTCTCTCTCTCTCTCTCTCTCTCTCTCTCTCTCTCTCTCTCTCTCTCTCTCTCTCTCTCTCTCTCTCTCATTTACTAAAAATATATACAGTATTTGATCATTTTGAATATATTGGGATTAGGAAACATAAGCCAAAGTGATCAAATAATTATTTGATAATGCTACACTTTTTATATTACAAAGGACAAACTTATATTATTACTTATATATTTTACAAATTACAAATGTTCACCTTTTTTACATGTTGCCTGCAATTTTCAGTATGTACAAAACAGAATTCTCTACAATTCAGTTTTGTTAATATGTTTTATATACAATAGCTGTATTACACATTTTGCTGCCAATAAATCAGTAAATGCACTTTGAGGCAAGTGTGTTTAAAATGATCAGTGCTAAGTTTTTATAGCTTTTATATGAGGCTTTGTTAAAATTATCATATCGTCATATCGTGATACATACCAACAAAAATCGTGATACATGCTGAGGCCCATATCGCCCAACCCTAGTCAGCACACGCTAAGCTAGGTTCAGTACAGAATATAAAGTCAATGGCTGCAGATAATAATAAAAGGATTCTTACCTAAAAAGAAGTACTTGTGCTGGTGATTGTACGGCAGGAATTTGATCTTCTTGATTCCAAACTGAAGGAACAGAGAGAAGTTAAACTACAATGACACAGAGGTCTTTAGGGTTAGAGTCCAGGCTAGAGTCCAGGCTAGAGTCCAGGCTAGAGTCCAGGCTAGAGTCCAGGCTAGAGTCCAGGCTAGAGTCCAGGCTAGAGTCCAGGCTAGAGTCCAGGTCAGAGTCTGGGCTAGAGTCCAGGTTAGAGTCCAGGTTAGAGTCCAGGTCAGAGTCCAGGCTAGATTCCAGGTCAGAGTCCAGGCTAGAGTCCAGGTCAGAGTCCAGGCTAGAGTCCAGGCTAGAGTCCAGGCTAGAGTCCAGGTTAGAGTCCAGGCTAGAGTCCAGGCTAGAGTCCAGGTTAGAGTCCAGGCTAGAGTCCAGGCTAGAGTCCAGGTTAGAGTCCAGGTTAGAGTCCAGGCTAGAGTCCAGGTTAGAGTCCAGGCTAGAGTCCAGACTAGAGTCCAGGTTAGAGTCCAGGCTAGAGTCCAGGTTAGAGTCCGGGCTAGAGTCCAGGCTAGAGTCCAGACTAGAGTCCAGGTTAGAGTCCAGGCTAGAGTCCAGGTTAGAGTCCAGGCTAGAGTCCAGGCTAGAGTCCAGGCTAGAGTCCAGGCTAGAGTCCAGGTTAGAGTCCAGGTTAGAGTCCAGGTTAGAGTCCAGGCTAGAGTCCAGGCTAGAGTCCAGGCTAGAGTCCAGGTTAGAGTCCAGGCTGGAGTCCAGGCTAGAGTCCAGGTTAGAGTCCAGGCTAGAGTCCAGGTTAGAATCCAGGTTAGAGTCCAGGTTAGAGTCCAGGCTAGAGTCCAGGCTAGAGTCCAGGCTAGAGTCCAGGCTAGAGTCCAGGCTAGAGTCCAGGTTAGAGTCCAGGTTAGAGTCCAGGTTAGAGTCCAGGCTAGAGTCCAGGTTAGAGTCCAGGCTAGAGTCCAGGTTAGAGTCCAGGCTAGAGTCCAGGTTAGAGTCCAGGCTAGAGTCCAGATTAGAGTCCAGGTTAGAGTCCAGGCTAGAGTCCAGGCTAGAGTCCAGGCTAGAGTCCAGGTTAGAGTCCAGGTTAGAGTCCAGGTTAGAGTCCAGGCTAGAGTCCAGGTTAGAGTCCAGGCTAGAGTCCAGATTAGAGTCCAGGCTAGAGTCCAGGTTAGAGTCCAGGCTAGAGTCCAGATTAGAGTCCAGGCTAGAGTCCAGGCTAGAGTCCAGGTTAGAGTCCAGGCTTGAGTCCAGGTTAGAGTCCAGGTTAGAGTCCAGGTTAGAGTCCAGGCTAGAGTCCAGGTTAGAGTCCAGGCTAGAGTCCAGACTAGAGTCCAGGTTAGAGTCCAGGCTAGAGTCCAGGTTAGAGTCCGGGCTAGAGTCCAGGCTAGAGTCCAGACTAGAGTCCAGGTTAGAGTCCAGGCTAGAGTCCAGGTTAGAGTCCGGGCTAGAGTCCAGGCTAGAGTCCAGGCTAGAGTCCAGGTTAGAGTCCAGGTTAGAGTCCAGGTTAGAGTCCAGGCTAGAGTCCAGGTTAGAGTCCAGGCTAGAGTCCAGGCTAGAGTCCAGATTAGAGTCCAGGCTAGAGTCCAGGTTAGAGTCCAGGCTAGAGTCCAGATTAGAGTCCAGGCTAGAGTCCAGGCTAGGCAGGTCAGGTTCCAGAGTCCAGGCTAGAGTCCAGGTTAGAGTCCAGGTTAGAGTCCAGGCTAGAGTCCAGGCTAGAGTCCAGGCTAGAGTCCAGGTTAGAGTCCAGGCTAGAGTCCAGGTAGAGTCCAGTCGTAGAGTCCAGGTTAGAGTCCAGGCTAGAGTCCAGGTTAGAGTCCAGGCTAGAGTCCAGGCTAGAGTCCAGGCTAGAGTCCAGGCTAGAGTCCAGGTAGAGTCCAGGTAGAGTCCAGTAGAGTCCAGGCAGAGTCCAGTAGAGTCCAGGCTAGAGTCCAGGTTAGAGTCCAGGCTGAGTCCAGGCTAGAGTCCAGGTTAGAGTCCAGGCTAGAGTCCAGGTTAGAGTCCAGGTTAGAGTCCAGGTTAGAGTCCAGGTAGAGAGTCCAGGTAGAGTCCAGGTTAGAGTCCAGGCTAGAGTCCAGTAGAGTCCAGGTAGAGTCCAGGTAGAGTCCAGGTTAGAGTCCAGGCTAGAGTCCAGGTTAGAGTCGGCTAGAGTCCAGGCTAGAGTCCAGACTAGAGTCCAGGTTAGAGTCCAGGCTAGAGTCCAGGTTAGAGTCCGGCTAGAGTCCAGGCTAGAGTCCAGGCTAGAGTCCAGGTTAGAGTCCAGGTTAGAGTCCAGGTTAGAGTCCAGGCTAGAGTCCAGGTAGAGTCCAGGCTAGAGTCCAGGCTAGAGTCCAGATTAGAGTCCAGGCTAGAGTCCAGGTTAGAGTCCAGGCTAGAGTCCAGATTAGAGTCCAGGCTAGAGTCCAGGCTAGAGTCCAGGTTAGAGTCCAGGCTTGAGTCCAGGTTAGAGTCCAGGTTAGAGTCCAGGCTAGAGTCCAGGTTAGAGTCCAGGCTAGAGTCCAGACTAGAGTCCAGGTTAGAGTCCAGGCTAGAGTCCAGGTTAGAGTCCGGGCTAGAGTCCAGGCTAGAGTCCAGGCTTGAGTCCAGGCTAGAGTCCAGGTTAGAGTCCAGGTTAGAGTCCAGGCTAGAGTCCAGGCTAGAGTCCAGGCTAGAGTCCAGATTAGAGTCCAGGTTAGAGTCCAGGTTAGAGTCCAGGCTAGAGTCCAGGCTAGAGTCCAGGCTAGAGTCCAGATTAGAGTCCAGGCTAGAGTCCAGGTTAGAGTCCAGGCTAGAGTCCAGGCTAGAGTCCAGGCTTGAGTCCAGGTTAGAGTCCAGGTTAGAGTCCAGGTTAGAGTCCAGGCTAGAGTCCAGGTTAGAGTCCGGGCTAGAGTCCAGGCTAGAGTCCAGGCTAGAGTCCAGGCTAGAGTCCAGGTTAGAGTCCAGATTAGAGTCCAGGTTAGAGTCCAGGTTAGAATCCAGGTTAGAGTCCAGGTTAGAGTCCAGGCTAGAGTCCAGACCTCCACAGGCTGAACCGCTCCGACCACCAGCACTTGGACCATGTTGACGTCTGGGTCTTTGCTGAAGATGTTGGGTTTGGCGTGATGCTGGAAATGCCGATGGTTCCACCACTGAGCAGAGGCCCCCTGCGGAGAGAGAAACTTAGAGCTACGGCTTAGGGCTACGGATTAGAGCTACGGCTTAGAGCTACGTCTTAGAGCTACGTCTTGGAGCTACGTCTTAGAGCTACGTCTTAGAGCTACGTCTTAGAGCTGCTGTGATGCTATAACGTTTACAACAATAACATCTGGTTCGTCCAATGTTATTGTTATGTCCACATGAAATAAATAAATAAGATCAATTAAATTAAAATAAAATAAATCTCTACATTACCTTGAGGTGACCGATGACAAACCTCTGAGCGACGTGATTCCATCTCGATCTTTTGAAAACAGACAGATGTCCAAAGTCGTGCTGGAGCCATGAGGCCTGAGCCTGTGGAGACCGGCTGTTAGCATTGGTTTTAGCATTGGCGTTAGCATTGGCGTTAGCATTGGTGTTAGCATTGGTGTTATGATTGGTCATTGGTGTTAGCATTGGTGTTAGCATTGGCGTTAGCATTGGTGTTAGCATTGGCGTTAGCATTGGCGTTAGCATTGGTGTTATGATTGGTCATTGGTGTTAGCATTGGTGTTAGCATTGGCGTTAGCATTGGCGTTAGCATTGGTGTTAGCATTGGCGTTAGCATTGGCGTTAGCATTGGTGTTAGCATTGGTGTTATGATTGGTCATTGGTGTTAGCATTGGTGTTAGCATTGGCGTTAGCATTGGTGTTAGCATTGGCGTTAGCATTGGCGTTAGCATTGGTGGACGTGTGGAGTGAGCACGCGTTTTGACGTCTCTGCTCTGTTTACCCTTTTAAGCCTTTTAAAGCCTTTTAAACACGTTTTTACGGTGTATTAGTGTCTTTTGTACACTCTAGTGTTTTATTATCTTAAATGCAATGGTTCCAGAGCATTACGTCTTTTAACACAAAGACCAAATCGAAACGCGCTAGCTCGGAGGCTACCACGAGCGCACCACAGACATGGAAAGTGACACTGCAATGACCACGAACGACATTAGTCGCCTCACATTGGAGCTTCGTGAGAGGGACCGTGCCACTATTGCAGACCTCCGTAAAGAAGTCCTTCGCCTCACTGCAGAGCTGCAGGATAAACAGTCACTCGTGTCCAAACTTTTTGATGTCGCTGGCGGGCAGCACTCACGGCTTATGTCACTGAGCGCTGCATACTGTGACACTGTCGTGTGGGAGAGGTCTGTCAGCTCTGGGCCCTCTTGTTCTACACCTAAGTGCCCGGTTCGGAATAAAGAGCCTGCGGACTGCGAGGAGCCATCCAGCGCCGTGGCCCATGTGCTGAGCCTGTCAAACCGCTATGCAGCCCTCTCCGCTGACATTCCAGCCCCCTCAGCAGAACCCCTGGACTCTGCAGCAAACTCTACTGCTGTCCGTGGATCCAGGTCCACTGCGAGAAAGACACTCTTAAAGGAAGCTGTCCTCAGACGAAAGAGTGATCATTCCCCTTCTCTGACCCCAGTGCATCACCACCACTTACCTTCACCGGGTCAGCAGCAGCGACCCGAGCCTGCTCCTCTCGCCGCTCCAGCGTCTCCGTGCACACAGCGTGGGTTGCCCGGAGCTGGGAATCAACACCCCCACTCTTCTCCATGTGTTCAGCAGCGCCCTGGTTCGGACCCATCCCTGGATGAGCCCGCTGGTTCTGGCCATGGACACCGAGCGCCTTCTCCGCGGCCGCGTCCACTTTTCGCCCCAACTACTCTGATCGTTGGAGATTCCATCGTGAGGCACGTCCGCTTTTTTAACGCGGTCACTCACTGCATTACCGGAGCTACAGTCCCAGATCTGCTCATCCGTCTCCCTCCTCTGCTTCACTCCCTGCCCGATACCATATCCAAGGTAATCGTGCATGTGGGTATAAATGATATGAAGCTGCAGCAGTCAGAGGTCACAAAGAAGCACTTTATGAATCTGTTCCGCCTCCTCCAGTCCTCCGGGTTGTGTGTTTTTATCTCTGGTCCAGTCCCGACTGTAAACCGGGGTGACTGCCTCTACAGTCGCGTTGTGGCGCTCAACATGTGGCTCCAGTCTACATGCAGCACTTTTAACTTTATTTTTGTGAACAACTTTGGCCTGTTCTGGAAGCGTCACGTGGCCTATCGTCCAGATGGTCTGCACCCGAACAGATACGGCACCAGTTTGTTGACGGACTTCCTGCGCCATGTTGTTCAGTGCTCCCCGAGGGGGGCGTGACTGTTTACATCTGAGGCTTCTCGGCCCCCACCACCCCCCCTCCTCTTCCTTACCAGCACCGGGTGAGTACTGTGGTGCAAACACTGACCCCTGTCCGTCTGGCAGTGTAACGACAGTCCTGCCACTGAACTGTGCTGACTCAGTTATGCATCTGGAACTTAACAAAGTACAACAGAGTTCACTTTTTAAACCAATAGAGACTGTGTGTGTTCCTCGCACCAGCTCAGAAATGTGTTTTAACTTGAATAAACACAAATTTAAAAGAAGGACAGCAGTTAGACGGTCCAACTCTGGAAATCTAATTCCAGTTCTTTGTAATCAATCAACTAAACCCACTGACACTGACATTAATTTTAACCTTGCTCTACTTAATGTCAGATCACTATGCAACAAATCATTTTTAATTAATAATTTTATCTGTTCGTATGATCTTGATTTTATGTTTATGACTGAAACATGGCTTGACCATAATACAGGAGATGCAGTTTTAATAGAAGCCTCACCACCAAATTTCAAATTTGAATATGAAACACGAGAAAATAAAAGGGGGGGGGGCATAGCAGCAGTTTTTAAAGATCGTATTGTCTCCCATAGGGTGTCTCTTGGGAAATTTTCATCATTTGAGTATGTTTCTTTTAAAATAGAACAAAAGAAATCTTCTTCCATTCTTATTATTGTTGTGTACAAGCCGCCACAGTCATGCCATAGTTTCACTGATCATTTCACTGAGTTGCTTTCAGTTGTGTGCACAGATTTTGATGGTTTAGTCATTATAGGCGATTTTAATATTCATGTGGATAATGTTAATGACAGATACGCAAAAGAGCTGAGTTCCATACTTGAATCCTTTGGCCTCACTCAGCATGTGAGTGGCCCCACCCATAGCAGAGGACACACCTTGGACCTGCTTATCACGAAAGGGGTGAATATTTCAAAAGTTAATGTAGTTGATGTTGCTCTGTCGGATCATTTCTGTGTATTTTTTAACATGTGTTTTGCTACCAGACCACCCGCTAAATATGAAATTGTTAGAAGTAGACACTTAAATGAAAACACGGGGTGAACTATTTATGGGAATGATCCATTTTGAGAACACATCATGTTCTACTGTAGATGAACTGCTTAACTCTGTCACCTCTAGTGTGTTGAATGTTCTGGACGCCATTGCCCCTGTGAAGGTAAAAATGGTCACAAATAAGCAAAAAGCCCCATGGATAAAAGCAGGCCCGGTCAGGGCACAGAAGCAAGAGTGCCGGAGAGCAGAGAGAAAGTGGAGAAAGTCCAACCTCCAGGGTGATTATAGACTCTTAAAAGAGAAGTTGTGTGAGTTTAACAGAGTACTACGTAGAACATGTTGTATTAAATATAGGCTAAAAGGCGATGTGAATTAGATTGACCTGAAATTGAACTCTGTCTGTCTCCAAGCAAAAAGAAAGACCTTGTATTGCCCTACTCCCCTGTCCCATTTTGTCCAAAGTGCATGGGTGAGTTAATGATAGTTAATCTGGGGGGATTCTGCTAATCCTTTCAAGTTGTGAAAGAAGGAGATGGAGTCCAGAATCTGGAGGAGAAGCCTTGAGATCCCTCTGCCTTATCTCAAAGGAACTAATAAATTTATAGAATTAGGGAGGGGTAGTGCGTGAATGATTTCTGTTCAGGTTTGGCGAGACGGAGGAAAAGGCCGGACCTTGGACCAGACATCTGCCTGATACGACACGCCCCCTTCTTCATGCACATTTACTTATAATAACCTCATGCTTGTGTTAGTCTAGACCGGACCAGGGACAGGAGTGTGATTTGCGTGGAGCGCCCACCAAAATCATACTTTTATATTTTATATAGAGAATAAGGGATAGTTACTTTTGGTCCGAACAGCTGTTTTAGATTCTTTTTGTATTAGGGAAATAAACCTTTTTGAATTTAACTTCCTGAATCATGGTCATCTTTATAAGGGATTTTGAACACGTCATTTTTTAATATAATAATTGGTGACCCCGACGTGATCCCTTTGATGACTTTCAACCTCTCCCTTGGACTCTGCATCTCTCCTCAAAGCGGCCGCTGATTTGAAGGTAAGCAGATACCTTTTGACTAATTAAAAATCTGCATATTGGACTACACAAATTAAGGGGGAGAAGTTTTGTCCACGGAGGAGCTAATTCAAAAAGTAAAAATAGTAAAAGCCTAAAAAGTAGTGAGAGCCTTGCGAAAATACGTTAAAATTAAATAAAATAGGAGTCTAAGTAGCTAGAACCCTGCGAGAATACATTAAAAGTAAAGATTTTTTGAGAAGCCTTGCCAGAAACAGGAAAGCCCGCTGTGACTAGCGTGGTTGACGGACGCGTCAACACACAAGTTAGGTTTTCACCATTGGAACCTGGGGGAATTTTGGGCCCCCCCGAAAAATGGAGACAGGCATTCCAATCGAGCAGCTATATAGAGAAATAGAGGCTCAGATTCTGAGTGGTCTGGATAAAAAATATAGGAACAAGGCAAAACGAAAGGCTGTGAAAGCATGGGAAAAAATACAGAACAAAAGGGTCATACCTGAGTATATGACAGCGTCCGCATTGGCTAAGATATTGCGGGAAGAGGAAAATAATTTAAAACAGCATAAACTTGAGCTTGAGGGAAAGCAGGGAGAGAGTTGGAATGAGCGTAGAAAAATTAAGAAGGAACTAAAAAAGGCTGAGAAACTGAGGACCAAGGTACATAATTTTGCTTTGGCTGCCACGGCGTTGGCAAAATTACCGATGGTAAGTAAAGACAAGGAAACAGAAAACGGAGCAATGCCGGTGAGTAATATATACCCATCCCTACCCACGGCTCCACCAAAATATTCTCTAGGTTTAGAACCAGGTAAGCCAAATCTAATATTGCCACAATATACATTTTCAGGAGAAGTGGCGGTAGGAAAGAGAGGGGACAATGACTTTGTAGACAGTGAATTTGACGAAGGGACAGAACAGGAGTCTGTGGGGGACAATAGAGATCCGAGTCAAAATCCAGCTGTCAGCAGCCCGCCACAGCTCCCACACACCCCTCACCAACCCCCACCCATCCAAGAGGTGCAGGAGCTGCTCCTGCACTCTCTCAGAAATATTAGAGCTAGGAAACCGACCTCTGAATGCACCACAGACAGAGTTGAGGGAGAAGAAACCCCA